CCCCCCCCCCCGTATCTGTATTAACGGGCCGTCACTTAAAATCGCACATGAGAAAACAGCTGTGACGGTACTCATGTTTGGCCTATCTGATATGAAAACCTAAATTATCTTCAAATACATGGGCACCGATGTCCAAATTTCACAGCGAGTATTACCTGACTGCAGCACGTAGCCTGTCGCGGTCTGTAAATGGTTACCGGTAACGGGTTAGAATTGCTAGGCCTCAGTTTAATACGGGTGGTCCAATGTATATGAGACGCATATTCAACAACCAAAAATATTTTCGGCAGGAGGTTTGTAAGGTTAGTCATGATACGAAACTGGCTACGTCACACGAAGCGTCACTCAATCTCTTGAAAATTCTTTCAATGAACCTGCAGCTTTCTACAAAGGCTTCCAAACCCCACATTTTGTTTTGTTCGATAAAGGGGAGCTCTTTCACGTGGCAAGCCCCTCGTTGTAGCTGTTTTCTGTGTATTGACTTTTATGGTGAAACATTCTTCCTCAGTTTCATCGCTTCCTGATCACTGCATGGATTACGCGTGTCGTTGCACAGAGAGTCCATACAGATACAGCAAAAACAGCATGACGCCAAAGAACCCAACAGGTGAGAGTCTAGCATCTATTTGAAACTGCTCCTTAATCATGCATTGATAACGCATGCTACCCAGATGGATGAAGTAACACAGGAACGGAACTTGGACTTCTTTGGTCCTATGAACTGGCGTCGGCCCATCCACACTGAGCTGAAAGGACGGCAGATCAGGCTCTGGTTTTCCTGCTCTAGATCACGAGTCGGCAACAATGATAGTAGTCTACGAAGAGTAAGTCCATCTGTTAGAATCAAAGACTATTGGGTAGATTTCGGTGCGCAGACACAGAATTTAAGCCACACTTTCAATGCTCTATATCAGATAACATTCGAACTCCGTAAAAGAACGGGGGGGGGGGGGGGTGAGCAATAGAGGCACAGGGTTATGGAAAGATCCGGGCAGTTATTCAAGGAAACGGTTCTATTATGTGACTGAATATTCTGTTGGCACCAGCTACCTTCTTCAGTGTGTTATGGGTTAGCGTTAAATCGAGATGCAGTAGTGGCAAGGTCCACCTCCCGAGTGGCGCTCTTGAGCAGTCAGCCGCCTGCGTAGTGGGCATCAGGTGAATCACCAGAGCAAAATGATTTTTTAGACATTTTTAGACATCTTTCGTTTGATGGACCAAGTGTGCAGCAGATTTATCGTCACTGGGTTATGGAAAGATCCGGGCAGTTATTCAAGGAAACGGTTCTATTATGTGATTGAATATTCTGTTGGCACCAGCTACCTTCTTCAGTGTGTTATGGGTTAGCGTTAAATCGAGATGCAGTAGTGGCAAGGTCCACCTCCCGAGTGGCGCTCTTGAGCAGTCAGCCGCCTGCGTAGTGGGCATCAGGTGAATCACCAGAGCAAAATGATTTTTTAGACATTTTTAGACATCTTTCGTTTGATGGACCAAGTGTGCAGCAGATTTATCGTCACTTGTATTCTGTCATCATCTTCAGGATTAGATGCCTTCAACCATAAGCTGAGACCATCAATGTAGACAGAACCCGCCTGAAGTACTACCGGAGGATCATTAGGATCTTGAAAACTCCGGTATTGAGGACAGGACCCGATCGAAAACTACTGAGTATCATTACAAGCACACGGTAGGTGCCATTCATCTCCCTTCGTATGGTGTGGCCTTCCAATAGCACAGCAATCAGTTATCCTTCCCGATGACACCAGCTCCCTGATGTTATAACGGGACAATTCTTGTGGAACCAATTTGAATACTTGGCTGGAATAAGTAAAAACGATATCTAAGAGTTTACCTGCATCATTCACACATACCCACTTCTCTCCGGCGACTCGCAGGCTGGCAACACAGGAACATGCTTTCCTAAAGCTTTATCGAACTCATCATGACATTTATTTCCTTACAATAAGGTGGAGGGGCCTACCCATCAATCTTCCCCATGCTCTTACAGACGACTGACGAGTGTTTACAGGGTCATGAAAGGCCCATAGGTAAATATCTGTAATCACTTTCCTAGGATGAACCAAATTACCTTGAAGATGGGTACCGTCATGAACTCGGCTGTCATCTTGTTGAAAAACAAGTGGATTTCATCCGGAAGTAGCGAAGGAATCGGATCCAATCCTATTATGGGTATTTAATACCGCGATCAATTAGGCCCTCGTGGCCGAACGTTTACGTGTTTAACTGCTAGACGAGGGGTCGCGGGTTCAAGACACTGGAGTTTTGTGAGATGCAAACTGCTAGTGATTCCAAACAAGAGTGCAACAGGTGTGCAGTAACCCTAGGTTTTCCAATATAGACTGGCTTCACTCATAGGGAACAGTTTCCATTAATGTTACATCGTAGTTACTGGAACTGCTGTCTAGAACATGGGGAAATACCGAAGGAAGGCAAAAAGATTGACTGTGGTACCATTCTTGCGAAGAACGGTATCCACTTCACGGGAGTACACTTGGGTACGCTGTTGCCAGCCTCAGCACTCCTGTTGATATAGAAAGGCGTCTTTATGGACTATTCTTGGATTGTTCTGCCCGAAAAAATGTTCGCCTCCCACATTTTTGGAATAGCCCCGGTCTAGAATCTGCCCCTAAGTTTTCATCTCCGGCTTACTATGGATTTCAGTTCACTCTCATCCAGGCTTGTTTGGAAGATGTCCCCTTTTTGGAAGGTATAACGGACGGTCCATGTGCCACTGAAATTCAGATATATTGTTTTGTCCGGCTCGTGGATTTCTGTTACTGCCTATGTTAGCGCACGGTCAACAATTTGCCAGGAAGCATTTGAGTAGGTGTTATGCAAATCTGGATAAGATTATGGGATTCAAGGGGGGAGTCAGATCTAACAGCACGCAGGTTAAGCTTCTCGGCTGCGAGCGGTAAGGCGGTATTGGTGTGGGGTTCTGTCAAACACGATGATTCCCAATAAGGATGAAACGGCTGTACAGTTATTCTAGGTTTTTCAGCATTGAATGGCTTCACTTACAGGATGAAATATCGATTGAAGACACAACCAAGTCTTCTCACATTACAGATAAACTGTTTATTCCTGGTACAATATGCTAAGTCGGTCCACACAAAAAAATTTCCAGGTTCTGTTTGACACAGAATGATATTTGTGTTTCCGTCTGTGACACCTGTGACCAACGTTACAACACAGAGTTCCTACAGGTTAGCTGTATTAGTGTAGGCTACCATCGCTAACACCAGACGATTTGTTTGCTTCTTGCATTAGCACCTCATCCCATTTGTCGTTCTTTAGGCATTCGCTTTCCATCCACTTGACCGTCCACCTACGGTGCTGTATTCACGCACTAATTTATCAGCTCCCGCCCCAATGCGCAGCTACCTACCCCACCTCCCCGAATCATAGGTGAACGAAACTGTGGCAGCTCCAACCACTGTACGACAAGTACGCGGTTATTACAGCTGACAATGATGATGATTATAAGACGGAGAAATCAAAGGTTTGCCATGAGATTATTACCTATGGGGACCCACCTTCAACGCTTGCAGAATATCGGAGCGACCGATCTATCTACAGGCAACTGATGAAAATTCAGTTAAGATCGAACTCAGGTGGTGATATTTTAAGATAAGCAACAGTTATTACCGTTGTTTCCAAGAAGGACCAAATCATAATTTACTGGGCCTCGCACGTTGTGAAAATGTCAGAATGTGCCTTATCCAAGGGGATGGAGTCTGCCCTACATGATCCTCGGATTCTGGGAAAAATAAATGATTCATTGGGCAAAAATGTCTTTCGGAGCAAACTGAAAACGAAATAGAGCGATAAATGGGTCGGGTGATTTGTACTCAATTGGCCATTTAAGAAAACGATAGTAAAATTTTGGGACCGGCCAGATTGAGGTAGGGTTGATGTACACACAAACACCAGGTTCCAGTTAGGTGTTTGCCAAGATTGGTAGAACGCCTGGTTGCGAAATGCCATGCAAGGGGGATCAATAAAACCATGGAATAAGTTAACTTCTTGGTTGGAGAATGTGGCTTCCGACAGGAAAACAGTAAGCGGTCAATGAAGACGAGCCATCTCTTCAACCACCTTGACCAAGTCCGCAGCAGTGCATTCACGGGTTTCCGGGTCGGAAGTACAAGCGGAACCGGCTACTCCAAACTCATCCATATTGACCTGAGGGAGAGAAGGAGTTGAGCTGAATTCTAAAGCTACATAAGCTGTGAAACATAAACAGATGGGAGCCAAGAAATGTACTTGTGAGCATGTCGGGTCTCTATGGAACAGTCAGTTTGCCAGTTGACCAAAGTTGCATTCACTTAGTATGTGCACTGACATCTGTCCGACTAATTTAGAAGATTGGTTGGTAAAATAAAGCCTGAATGAATGAATTGGACGCTCTTTAGGCCAAAACAGGGTTGTTCAAACCTTTCCGCACCTTACAACCCTTTCGGCCTATCGCAAGTTTATTCCCTTTTGAAGTTTCGCTGGCCAAAACAAACCATTCAGAACCACAGGAGATCTTCACTCTGTGCGTTCATACAACTATTCGATAGCATGTGTGAGCTGACTGCGCCTTCTTGTGCTTGCAGCCGCTGATAAAACGAATGTTGGGCACAAACATGTTCGTATGTTCGAGGAGCGGCTTCAATCATTACGGAACTGAGTAACTGGATATGTGGGCTGTGTACAAGACTCAAGCACATCGCTTCTACTGTTGTACCGCAATTGTCTAGCTTCTATGGTTCATTCGAACAGCTGATAATAAAACAGACATCCGCATACCGATTAGTTTGGATTGCTCAACACGAATTCGAATTAACCCCTTGCTTTTTTTGTTCTCCACTCGAATGTTAGTGCTAGGACCACCCCAAAAATAAGACGGGCTAACTTTATCCTAGTATTTTTCCTTTATAGGCTATACTTCACATGATGTAAGTGCTGGCTGGTATTGCAGAAGATCTGAAGAACAGAACATCCACGTTAGAGGTCTGCCCAAAAACAACCAATCACGTATTACTAAAGATAATATTCAGTTGTCTGGCTTATTAGTAAAACATTAACAAAGAATGGAGCTCATTCAGCACTCAAGCAATTCAAGCACAAATCCCTTCACCGGCAAATCCCAACTTGACTGAACTTGGCCCAGTCTTCTCGTACACTTTTCTGTCCTAGAAACGTATGCGTCAGAAGATGACATAATGATAAAATAAACCCGCCCACATTGTGTTGTTAGCAATGAGATCACTAGTTTTCAAGATTGAAAGTAGAACTGTTCAACAGGTCAACCAACACATTAGGCCATTGCGTCTGCAGCGCGACTACTGTCATCAGGACGAACATAATTTTTGTATCTGGGTAACAGAGGAAAATCAGTGAACTTATCAACCACTGTTTCCGTCAGAGGCATTTTCGTCATACCCATTGTTAGGACGGCCAGGTCCTAACGAACAATTCTACCCTTTGTAATATTTCACTGAGATTTCACTTTCTCTCTCATGTAGTCAACTGAGCCGCAGCGCTCTTTCTTCCATTGGTTCATCTGCAATATAGCCGATCTTCATCTGGTGTCCTTTGTTTTCTTCCTTGAGGTTTTCCCATTCAAGTAACTAGACTATCAACATGACAGAATAAATTGCATCAAGCTCCTAAATCACTCAACTAGCACAACACAACACAACACCCATGAATTGTGACACCATGAGAGCTAACAAGGAACATGTTTTACAACGTTTGGAAACTTTCCTCTGTTGTGGCGACCACATTGGTGGCAAAGGGGGGTTCCCCCAAAAAAAAGATTATCACAATGGTCCCCCTGAGTTGAATATGGTCGTACGGGACATCGTACAGGCTACCTGGACCTCGAAGGATCACAGTCGAATGGGGCTAAACACTTCAAGCTAACTTCGAAAATCCGGAATAAAACTAACCGGGATTCTCAAACCTTTAACCAATTTCGCTTTATCCTCGGAGCTCAAATCCAAAAGCGTCTCAATCAGATCACCATCAACGAAATTGTGAGCCATCCGAACAATACGTTCAGCCTTGAATGCTCGCCACATATCATGCGCGAATCCTCCGACTGGGTTCACCAATTTGGCTAACCGGGACTCGATCTCTTTGAGAAATGCGAATAGAACCGGAGACACTTGGATAATCAGACCGATGCTGCCACTGACAGTGCCATACAAATGACTGGGATGGCCAATGGCTTGCCAACGTTCTTCGTTGTTTTGCATCACCAAGTTACCTGAAAATAAAATAAAAAAATAAAGCAGACCATAGACCTCGAATATCCAAGTGGAGTGAGGAGCGAATAGAGTAATTCTCTGAAAAGGAAATAGGCGAAATCGTTCGGCGATAGCGTATCCCCGACATAGTTGATACCCTTTCATCTGGTTTCGCTTCGATCTGATCGCTGACTGATCAAAACTGGGTACGAAAAATCAGTCCCGATAAACGTAAACCACTAATAAGCTAGGTTAATCAAGACGAGAGCGTTGTTACTGACCGGAAACCGACGTGAACATGGAAGGAAAGTGAGCACTCACCCCGAACGAAAACGTTGATGAAATCGCCCGTATGGATATAAGCACAGTCGGCCAATCGCTGTACTTCGCCTGAAACATTTGCACCAGTGGAATCAGCATTCGAATTGCCTAATGGTGCTGTATTGGTACCACGAGGGGCACTTGTGCGTCGCTGTCTACTGGTACCAGAGGCGGTTCGGGTGGATGTTGCAGTCGGATCTCCAGTTCCATCGACAGACTGGGTAGTCGAAGAGGAGTCGACAGCATCGGATCTGCTTTGAGCCGAGCTATCCGTAGCCTTCGCTTTGAAACCGACCGAAGAAGGAAGGACGCACGAGGATTCCCCGGTGGATGGTGCTAGGAGGGCTCTAACTGTGGGTTCTTGAGTGTTCTCTGGGGAGTCACGCGAGACAACAAAGAGGCTATTTTCAACCTCTGCAGCCAGGAAATGTTCATCATCCAAGATTTCTATACACGTCGTCCAACGTGGATTACGATGACGCCCAATCTGGAAAGGGAAAATAACGGGTGGCGAATTCCAACACCATCTAGTATTGGCGCAAAACAACTAGTGGTGCGACCATGTACAATCCAAAGGAAATCCACTTTGTGTACACATTGCCGAACGGTTGCATACCAAGACGTTTAAAGGGGTTGATGTTTCAAAGCAATGCATGTAGGCTTCCTGGCAGAATCTAAGTAGCGTGTTTCGAATGATTTGCGCCCAATTTTCCCGACCGTTGCTGTAATTGCGCGAAAGTAATGCGCCAAAACATTGTCCCATTGAACGCAAGCCCAAGGCCCGGTGGTGAGTGTCATCCAAACTTTATGGACGGGTTTGTTTTAACCAACTGCTTCATGCCCTTCCTCTGAAAAACTGCTTCCACTGGAACAAACAGATTCGAATACTTCAGGTCGACAAGTGCTATTAAGGTAATTAGATGTACTGCTTTCGGTAAAAATCGCCCCAAGGAGGGATTTCAGTATTTCAGGGAGAACGAGAACCCCGGATTTATGGCTGGTTCAACCCGTCCGACAGCAGACCGAATAGGCACTTATTATAGTAAGATGGTTTTTTAATGTTCACTAACTTTCTGTCTGGTTTTGATGGTAGACGTGTGATAAAAGGTGCGTTGATACCGTGCAGATGTGGACTAAGCGCACATCTGTTGCCTAAGTCACTAGCGGATGACTTTATCTAAGACGTTGGTTGATCATCTGGCAGTACAGGACGTATGGAAATTTCGGTCATCTGACACACAAGCTTGTTTCTGTTTCACTGGAAAACAAGAGAAAGTTCAAGATGGATCAGTTGGGGATATCTCGAAAACGCCAGCGTTAAACATTCACAGGAAGTATCCATCTAATGGAATGACGCCTCAATTAGGGAAAGGACCACGAATGTCACTCTGGTTGTGAACTACTCGTTTGTCTATTTTGCTTTTCCTGTCGGACTCTGAGATTTCTAGTCAAAGTAGTTGGAGCGCGTCTTCGATGATGGACGTTCAGCTGATCGAAGTGAGGTATTTGGAACATTATGAACCAACAGCCTTGTCAGGCTATCTCCGTGATCCTTGGTAAGATGCTAGTTTTTCTTTGGAGATTCTTGAGGGAGACCGAAACACCTGTACGATAAGTAAACAGGGAGGTTTCACCTGCTCAAGTAAGTACACGAGCATGGGTATTAAAGAACACAAAATAAAACATAAAACAAGACAAATTCTTCGCTCATGTTGGCGCTCGGTTTCAATATCAAGGGATGGGGGTGACGGCTTGTCTTGCAGCTTAACCGGTCAGTGCCAGTTTGTTACCCTGACTTACAGTTCCCACGTCAGGTCTCAGTTCCCTATACTTTAACCTTTGTTGCGCTATCCGGCGAACCTGTTGCGCTTGACTTATCAACGTCAGTCCTATTCATATTGTCAGGACGCGCCCAGACATGGAAAAAGTACATGTGCAGATAGCGACGCATTTCCAGCGTCATTATCGTTACGACACGTTCGGAAAGCAGGTGCGTTGGCGGAGCTCACCAAACACGGCTTAGCAACATACGACCAGCGGAGTGGGCCCGAAAGTGTTCACGACCGGAATACCGCCATTGGCTGTGCAGAACGAACAAGTGAACGACCATATTTGGCCATTTAGTCATCCCATACATTTGCTCATAAGCTCCGTATGTTTTTTCCGATTTCTCTGTATTCTCCTTATCGCGTAGTCTGGCAGGATCGGTGCAGGCGTAACCAATAGACGGCCATCCACGATACAACACACTATGCGTTTCCACGGTAACTGGACCCAAGTTTACGGGATCGCCATGGAGCAAAAGTCCCGTTTCACTTAATCCCCGGCTTCTTTTACCAAAATGCTGTCAGTAAATCATAACTGGAAGAAACAAATCCATACTAACGGTTCCACTGTCCTCGAAGGGAAAACAAACGTTGTGCGCACTCGAAACAGTCTATAGAACTGTAAAATAGAGTTAGTGTGATGCTCATCATCAAGCACAAGCTGTGTACGGTTTCCAAAGTATTTCGTCACCCTTTTCTTGTAAACATTAAGAATTGAGTGACAGAAAACGGAACTTCGGATCTTGGTGTATCCTCACTATTACTGTGTTGCTCTTGTATTGGCGTGGAAGTAACTTTTTGTAGGTCATGTATTCAATCGACCAAGCAACCAACGTACGGCCTACATCCTAGGATGATCACTTGGGCTGCAGGCTTCTTGCACATCCAATCAGTTTGGATGAACATCAACGGGGTCGGTTTCATGGCTCACAGCATCCAGCCGGGGATACTTCAGACTTGTGGTTTTTTCTATCCCAGTTCTTGCGTTTTTTTTGCAGCATCCACATCCTATCTCCCAGTGATATGCTTTTCTACGCATTCTCAGTGACCAGATACAAACTACTAGTGCCTGTCTAACGTTGGCGACTAGGGTTTTAGCACCACTGCGATATCAACGAGTCCAACTCCGCCCGCACCTCCATCGGACATCTCAAGCTATATTCGCGTTATGCCTACTTCATCGTGCTGGATTTGACCTTTTGCGACAATCTCTCTTGATCACTTCGGTCACACTGATCACCGGGAGTGTGTCTAACAAGGCGTCTACATGCCCTTCACTCCCCGCAACTCCTTATTCTCTTCTGGTCTCAGATTCACCCCCTCCTAGAATACTGTTGTATCACGCATGTTGCAGATGTTCCACTTCAAGGTATTGCACAAAGGCTATGAATAGATAAAGCGCAAAGCCAAAGCAACGCTTGGGTAAAGGACAATTTATCGAAGCGCCCCTGAGTTTGGGATGAAAACTACGCCCTGTTACAAAGAAATGACTACAAAAATACCGATTGCGTTTCATCGCTACCTGCCAATACCTCTTACTTGTGGTTTATTGTACGCGTGGTCAGCAATCACGCGGGTAGGTTGTCATCTGACAAGATTAGCAGAATACAGCGTGAAGAGACTTACTGCTTCGAAATTGTTCACATTTGGTCGGTAGAGGAGCAAAGTCAAGGAGCGCATGAGGTCCCCAACCAATACAAAGTCACCCTTGCGGCGGAGGAATAGAGCAATAATATTCTCGTTGAAACTGCATGCCAAACGTAGAGAATCCTCTTTGATGTCAAAAAGTCTGACCTAAAACGCAAGAAAATCCTATCGTAAACTATGCACTTGTGAGAACTAAAAGAAGAGATGTCTAACTATCAATGGCTTCAAAGAGACGTTAGAATCAAAGAAAAGTTAATCAAAGTAAGACACAACAGAAGGAAGGTTAAGCGTATTCAGAAAAAAACAAGTACTTTATGCCAAATGTAGTATGCTGCGGTAAGCTTTGATATTTCCAAAGCCAGGATCCAACAACGTCATTTTTTCCAGTGGATGCTTCATAAAAGTTTATAAGGAATCCTGACTTTCTCACCGGAGACAAAAAAAAAGTAAGGCACTTCGTGTTTTATGTTGCACCATATTAATAGCAAAGATGGCCAAAAACGGTAAAAGAAGAGCCCTCTCTAACACCAGTGGGAACGAGGAATCAACGCTAAGGCATAATGTGGACCCGTATACGCATACAGTGGGCATGCATTGCTTTCATACAAAAAAGCAGGTTTCTCAAATGACGATTTCTCGAGGAGCACAGTTAATTTCATTTCGGACGTGTTACTCGTATTTATTCAGTAGTAAGATTTTAGGCTGCAATTGTTGATCGTATCCCCAGGGTGCATTGCACATTTGAAAGCTTCACCAGCGTACACTTCACGAATCCTGATTCGGATTCTTAAACCGAAAATGTCGGACATCAATCGGACAGGTGTGGATGTCAGACTGACTTCCAATTAGGAAGTCAGCCCCCTTACCCCTATAGCATGGCGAGATCAAATGACCTAGTGCCGAGTACGTAAAGCGATTAGTGCTGATAGCATCCAACAGGCAACCGAAAGTTAGTCAGCACTTTTTTAGCTTTCTAGTATGACCAACTTGACTTCTCGAGGTGAAATTCGAAGCTTCTCCACCACAACCAAAATATCCGCACTACCCGAAGAGAAAAGTGCACTAAATGATAACCGCTCCACTAGGATTGGTCAAAGGAAGTGTGAGACCACACTAGTTTGACAAAGTCAATTATCGCTATTTCACAGTAAAACACAATGAAGAGTGGGGAAACTATCTTCTATATCTGTCCTTCCAACCTCAAGGCCTAACGCAACAGTGGGAATTACCGAACAACCTACCGAACTGTTGATAGCAGCTAAAAGTCGGCCATTAAAATCGAGCAACCGGTAAACGGCTCCATTCACGTCGTGGACCAGAACTGTTTCCAATCTTGCCGTTTCCGGGTCCCAGTGGAACAGATGGATGCGACCTTTGGAAGGTTCGACTTCCTCCTCGACCAGAAAAGCAGTTCCCACGGCGTACAGCATGTTCTTTGATCCATCGGTGGGCTCAATTGAAGCAATACTGACGGCGACTTCAACTAAAGTTTGACTGAAGTAGAAGCTGTGTGCGAACATCAATTCCATCGTGGATTTGTTGAATATGAGCAGCGATGAAACCTCAACCTCTCGGAATTTGCGTTCAGTCGCGGACACGGAGGCTGCATTGGAAAAGAGCTTATTTAGGAGAATGCTTAATTCATAAGATGCATCAAAGCGACTCAGTAAATGCGAATCATTCCTCAAGTGAGGGGGCAACATAGGAAGTGCTTACAGGGTGCGGTCTTTGGGAGTCGGCTGGTGGACTTGGGAACCTTTTGTGACAAGGAGATGGAGGAGCGGACAGGTTTGAACCCAGAGCCTTCCTGGAAAACCTCTTGACGGTATGTGATAACACCAAGACTTCCAGTTTCGTCTTGCAACGCCAAACGTTTTGGCGTCTCCTCAAGAGGTACAGTTCGGACATGGAGCTTCTGTATTTCATCTACAGATCCAATAACTAGAGCTGTTGGTGTTACCAGCGCAATACTGTGTGAGGAAAAGTAGAAGGGAAACATTCACACAATTGAGTGATTTACAGATTGAGCTGGGTATCAACATCATAACCAATAAGCTACATACAGCCTAGATGATCTAAAAGCTAAGCACACAATGACCTTTCGAAGTACATAGTGTTCTATATATTTTTGATGAATTTATCCAGTAGTGAACGTAGACTATTATGAGATGGACCATAGTGGAAAATGCTTGTTGGCTATCGTGGATCGAAGTTGGTTAGGGTGGAGGGAAACGAGCAGCTGAACAAGCATTCAAATCAGAAACAGTGGCAGGCTGTGAGTATGTTGCTCCCATCTCCTCATGAAGCAATCTCAAACCCCGTCTGAAACCAATATAGTGTCAATCGATCGAAGAGGAAGCCATTAGGATCGCCACAAGTCAGAAAGGACAGCACTCCTATTTCTTACTGAAATGTTCACCTTGATACCGTCCACATAAGCGACTTTATTAGACTCAAGCATCAATTCAATGCCCGAACGAACTGGATCAATAAAGAAAAACATAAATCGCAAAGAGCCAAGTCAGAGAATCACGTTGACACAACCGCCAAAGGCATATAGCTGAACGATCGAATGAATATCGCTGGATATCAGCGTATCCTCGTGACAAAAGTGGCTAACGATAGCGAATTGCGAGGTAATTAATTAGAAAATCTTGCCTGGAAATGGTCTCACAGTGTCAAACCGGTAGCTAACCAAAAAATTCAGTTTTTGTAAAAGAGGATACGGATAGGTTTGAAGCCATTCGCAGATAAGCATATATATATAGCATAGCGTTCAGCTGTAGCACCCTTTCGGTGCCTAGCTGCCATGCCACCCGAAGGAAGCACGAGGGCTGGGATACTGCCAGGTTGCCCAAGCCTAGACAGAGGAAGTCGAGTGGCGGGGTTCCGATTCCAACCACGGACCTTCCGATCAGTAAATTCGCGCTCTAACCCCTGGGCTGTCTCGCCCCCTTCGCAGATAAGAGGTCTGAATGGAGAGGATGAGAGGCATTATTGATTAAACGTGAGCAGACAGAAAAGAACATACTTAGGAGACGGCATGTTAGCTTGGAAATGAAGACAAAAATCATCCTCAGAAAACGGGTTTCAAGCTTCAGACGAAAGGCCATCTTAGGTAGGCAGTTTTCTTTAAGACAATCCTGTGCCAACATGCATAACCCGGTTTTGAAGACAAGTCCACCTGTCTAGTTCTCGAGTATATGGGCGGGCTAGACCTGTTTCGGTAAATCTTAGAATATCCTCTAGTTAGCCTATATGCAAACACTGGTTCCATAAATATGAACATTCTAGTCGTCTGCAACAAACATCTGACAGTCATCATACTGCCGGCGCAGAGGACAGTACAACTTTACGTCCAAACCGATCGTATTGCGGCCATTCGTGGTACGGGGGAGGGGGGTAGGTGGATTCGTTGCTCTTCACTAGCTGCTTCCCTTTGACTTTAGGGCATGGCAGTACCTGGTGGAACAGAGTTCAAGTCATTATAGCCGGTGGAATCATTGCAGTACTCAATCCCGACCACCACAATGAGGTGACATTTCTCCGAGTGAAGCGAGTCCTGTATGTGACTGAGAGAAGCCTGTGGCCCCGCTCGTTTCAGTGAAAACACTGAAAGCAGTCAGCTAAACCTGGTGCCGAGGTTTGAAAATTGATTCTGGCATGCTGAGGCTATCGGCGTCTGCTGACAGGACGGTTAAGGTGATCATCCAAAGCCCCTGACTCAAAAGCTTGAATATAAGTCAGCGGTGTTTGGTGGGAAATACCAGTAAATTATATTTTTTAAAGAAGAATTCGCCACACACATTGTGAACCTCAACCTGGAGGACCAGATCACACCATTGGTCAAATCTATAACTATTGACCAACCTGATATGATAGATCCTCCCAGTAAAAATCAATAATAATCGTTCAGCTGTAACACCCCTTCGGAGCCTAGCTGCCATGCCGCACGAAGGAGGCACGAGGGCTGGGATACTGTCAGGTTGCCCAAGCCTAGACAGGGGGAGTCGAGATGCAGAGGCTGGGTTCGAACCACGGACCTTCCGGTCAGTAAATTCGTGCTCTAACCACTTGGTCGATCTCGCCCGTGTCCTCCAAGTGTCGCACGGACGCCCCCCAGTACAGCTCAATCGATCACGTAAACGCACAAAACCACGATAAGGTCATCTCTTCGTGACCAAAAAGCCTTAGCTACATTTTCGAGACCCCGACCTTACAGAAAAAAGTTGATTATTCGAGTTAACCTACGGAGAAAAGGGGCTTACCAGTCGCGGTAGAAAGCGCCATTCAACGGGGCCATGAAATTCACCTCCTTCATGTTCAAATTGGCAAAAATTAGCTTGTTTTTGATGGAGTAAATCACACAGGGATGGTTGGAGCACACAAACACATTGACCTTGCACTGAGAACGCCATTGCTTGAGGAACATTGAAGGACCGGTACCAGCATTGACCCGCTTTGCGTCACGCAGAACAATCCCATCTGTGGGAGGTTGAAAAACAAACCACTAATGGCCGACGTGGATACTATAAGAATTACGTAAGACTTGAAATTAACGCAAAACTTTACCCGCGGATTCATCAGTTAAGTCAGTCTTCCTCAGGGAGTACCAGACCTCACCAATAGTTGGCTCTATTTTCGCGCGCTGCTATGCTATCACATTGCTCGGGCGAAGACAGGGGTGGAAGAAACGTAAGACTCCGACGTCAATGGGAGCTCATATGTAAATCATTAGACTATGGTGGATAAGCCTCATAAAACCGTGCCACTAAATCGCCGTCTTATGACTACTCACTATTAGTCTACTGAAAAGCAGCTCTTTTATGTTATATACAGGATTAGTGGAAATTAGTTCCTACTGTAGGTCCCCTCCAAAGAGACACTCCTCTAGGGAGTCTATAACAGCGTTTCCCATCGGCTAGGATTAAGTGATGACCTCCAGAAAGGTCCGGATTCCTCTTTTCCTATGTTGATGTCTCTTGGAGGATTACTGGGAAAGGCAAATCTGGGCCAATCACATACAGTTCGCCCAAGTGATTCCAGAGAAACGGTTCATAGAAATTCACACGGCTAGCGGTCATGGATACAGGCAACCTTAGATGAGATAACAGATGCATAGAACTTACCAGCAGAAGGACAGACTGTATAAAAATAGAGAGTTCCGTCGCCCATAGCTGCAAACAAGTAAGCCATATCTTCCAGCTGAGCAAGCAGCACAGATCTTGGANGACGCAGTAGTTCCGGGAAACGCTCTTCGTGCACCAATTCCAAGTTGGGAAGCCGGAGCAATGCTAGTCCGTAGCCTAACCAAAGGCCAACAGCAACTAACTGGGGTACGGTGTAATCGACAGGCTCATCAATGGTCGACGTCTGACTAGCAGCATAGGCTGCACGCTTATGATCAAACGGTGTGAGGTCGATACAGGCGACTTCGTTGGACATTGTACGGTGGCTGTTGCAGCAGAGATGAAAACAAAAAAAGCAAAATCAAGTGAAGCTGGACCTAACACAACCGTGGGTAAATATGGTATCCGGATACAACCAAAGTTAGTCGAATGAAGTAACCCTGTGAAATTCTCAAAAGAGGTACGCCAAAAGCAGACTTTATACCGGATTTGAAAATTCGTACCGGAGGAACCGGCTTCTCACCGAGTTCCTAGCAAGTTACTGCTAGGAACCACCAACCCATCGCTACGCTCCACTATGCTCCCTAACAAATCACTGCTTATGTCAATTCGATTGGTGATGAAACGTTTGCAATCAAATTGCCCAGCTCAGTGAACAAACCAACAACCAGTTATTACTACCCTTCATGATGTGATACGAAGCTCCCGGCTAAACCTGCTGGTCGATATTCTGGCTACTCAGAGCGTCATTATGTGACCGATTCCTCACATAGTTATTTAACCAACGTATATATGGAAACTGTCAGGCAACGAGATGGAGCCCAGTACCAGCCTACAACCGGGACAATCAGAATCTGCAATATCAGCTTCCAGCCATAAACTACAGCATCACCATGGAGTTGTCGAAACATCCAAACCGTTAAATGACAAAAATGTACAAAAACCTGATCCAGCAGGATCGTACCTTGCTCGATCGCTAATCATCACTTACGCGGCTTGCTCAAACGATGGTTGGTTTGCCGGGCCAACGACACGAAGGACATAGAGTTCCGGTCCACTGGCAACCACAATCAGTGCGCCGTGCGAGCTCAAACATGAAATGCCACGACCACTGGGCGAACGCCATTCAGCCAGGCAACCTGATCCATTTAGATGGTGTATACCAATCAACCGGATCCCTGAAGTCGTAGCTTGCATGAGAAGGGAATGTTGGAACACGGAATATGATCGTGATGACGATTCCGGGTTATCTGAAGTGGATGCATCCATGGGTGACAATGTCGCACAGTAGACTGTCTGTTCATCAGTTTTGAATCCATCAAGATGTAATGCAGTTATATCATCATCGGTTAGTCGTAACAATCTGTCGAAGAAGATGACCAAGTAAAGAATTGAGGCGACATACAATTGGAGTTTCACTTGAGCATTATCGTAAACGGAACATTCATCAGGTTTTAGTCAGCCTGCGATGCAGGTTAAAGACAACAGCAATGAAGCAAATGCGATAAACTCAACAGGTCACCGTATGCATATGCAAAATGAAATCATTGGGCTAAGTTTCTTCTCCTGGCTGCGAACAACCGACATGGTGAATGGGCTATCCAGACATCAAATGCGCAAGCGCAAAAAAAAACAAACAGAAAATTTAATGAGCAACCAATAGGCAGTGGCCAGTATCTGCGATGAGGCGGCGTACAGTAATCCAACAACGAAAGGCACTACCATGGAGAGGCTAATGAGCGTTCGGTCAATCACACCTTAATGTAACTTATCCTCCCGTCGAAGTGCGAGTGCTTTCCAGATGTCAGAAATTATTTTTCACCGCCGTGTACTTTCTTTAGAAGAATAGCAGCATCGCGCTTCCGAATTGTGGCGAGGAAGTGGGACGAGTTAAGGAAGTTACATCACAGAAGACGACAAAGAAAGAGGAACACATGCGACGGGGGTGGAAACACAATAAAGTTGCTGGTAGCTCTAGTGATATTTGAAATATCGCCGAGGCACTATTCCGTATCGAATAGGGAAAGAAAACAGGTTTCTAAGCAGCAACAGTTGCGCCAAAACCATCGACCGCATCGGTGGAAAAGGTTAAAAAAAAAGCTTTGTTGGAGCTTGAAAAGTTTCCTGTCTTAACAAGCCGCTTCAATTATGCCCAACAAACTGGTTGTCATGAAGGTATCCGCCCCATGCAAGCTGCTGAAAATCTTAACACTAAGTCAACTTAATTTTTAGGCAATGGATAATTGTTGGATGCCTGATCCAAAATGCTTACAAGCAATGAATTGTCTCGTCACCAAACAAGACCACGATAGATAAGAAAATAGCTAGTCGCGGATACACAATCTAACAACCAGTTACATCTAGAAAACTCCGAACAACAAGTTCAAAGCATCTTTGACGCTTTATGGCCATGAATACCCCATGAATACTTCAGGAAAATCATAATAGGAATCGATTTCTCGTTTCGTTGTCAGGTTGAATGGGTTCACCTATTCATACGCGGCAATTCATGTGGAGCAGAACCCTCCTCATAGGTTACACGACCGGAAACCTTACTAGCTCCCTTGAGAATGAAACCTCCCACTTCGTGCGCACAGGCGTCAAAGTCCTGCTAAATTCATCAGACTAACCCAACTAAAACTGGTCACTGTCCAAATAGTTGTTTACAACACCGACAATAATGGGGTTTCTCAGGAAGGTCAGATTCCTGAAAGCAACTATCAGATTAAACTAAAACTGGTCACTGTCCAAATAGTTGTTTACAACACCGACAATAATGGGGTTTCTCAGGAAGGTCAGATTCCTGAAAGAAAGTTCAGAACGCCCGGAACCGACTGCTCCACCAAAAACTCAACTGGAAAGCCGGCAAGCAACCAGGCCAATCAATCATTCAATCAATTCAATTTGCGGCCACAGAAGCACGACCGAATGTGATCAGCGTTCAGGCTTTTCACAGAGGCACAATAGATGTTGATGGGTGATCACTAACGCCTATCAGACAGCCTGGATCAATGTCAGAAAGTCCCCTTTAAATAGCGTGGGGCCGTTGTAACTTTTGCACTCGCACTCACTCGCTTGTTCGGAATACAGCTGTTGTGTTCCCTTCTGTGAGTCTTTTCTCTCCGACACTAGGCACTGGAGCGGGTCAGCAGCAGATACCACAGATTGACGAATCAGCAGATATAACAGATTGGCGACGCCCGAACCCACAGAATCATGACAATAACTGCTGAAGCGTTGAAAGAAATCCTGCTGCAACAACAAAACCAGTTTGAAGCGGCACAATTACGTTTGGTGGAAACATTGACGCAGCAACTTAAAATCCAAACACCAAATTCCGCTCCAGATACAAATTCAGTCAACTCGACTGCCAACAGCATCACTGAATTAGGTTATGACCCCGATGCCGGCCTAACCTTCGATTCGTGGTTCAGACGTTACGAAGATGTTTTCCAAGTCGAACTGAAGCACAAAGATGATGCCTGGAGAGTACGCTTATTGCTCAGAAAGCTTGGCACAACGGAACACACACGATATTCCAACTTTATCCTGCCTAAGAACACGCGAGATCTCAGTTTTGACAAAACCGTGCAGCAACTTTCAATGATTTTCGGTGAGCATTCGTCCTTGTTTAATATTCACTACCAATGTATGAAACTGGTGAAAACGGAATCTGAGGATTACATCACTTATGCCGGTAGAGTCAACCTTGAATGCGAACAATTCAAGTTATCTACCATGACAGAAGACCAGTTCAAGTGCCTTATTTTCATATGTGGTCTTCAGTCGAATTCAGACAGTGATATCAGGGGGAGACTATTGAGCAAGATTGAACAAACTCCCGAGATAACGCTGCAGTCTATTACTCATGAGTGCCAGCGCCATGTTGGAGAAGCCCTTATGCAACCCTGCTTTCAACATCGCCAAGACGACATCGAAGCAACCTCCTGTGGTGACACAGTCGAATGGAGCAATGCCTCCTTCAGCATGCTGGCAATGCGGCGAATGGCATTTTGTGCGATTGTGTCCATACAAAAAGCACAAATGTTCAGTGTGCAATCGACGTGGGCACAAGGAAAGCCAGTGCCGGACGCGGAAAGCTAGCCAAAGACGCAGTCAACCCCGGAGGTCACGAAGCAAACGGAGCCAATCAGAACCGGAAGTCCGTGCTGTGGTGTTGGAGACCATGAACCAACTACCCGTGACTTTTGACGCGGTGCGAGATGCCACCAAAAATGACAGCATATTACAAAAGGCAATGGAGTACCACCAATCAAGCTGGCCAACAACCAGTCCACCAGGGGAACTCCGGAAACTTTTTCAGCGACGGAGTTCATTATCTGTTGTCAATGGCTGTCTTCTCTTTGGTGACCGAATTGTCATTCCCACCGAACTTCGTCAACGGATCCTAGCACAGTTCCACAGTGGACATCCAGGGATAAGCCGAATGAAGACTCTTGCTCGCAGCTATGTCTACTGGCCCGATATGGATGAGCACATTGAGCAGTTATGTCGGAGTTGTTTCCGTTGCGCAGCTGCCCAGAAGTTACCCAACCGACAGTCACCTCAGCCTTGGCCACAGCCAGAAAAACCATGGTCGCGCATCCATGTGGATTTTGCCGGACCAATTAACGGACAAAGCTTCCTCATCGTTGTCGATGCATTCAGTAAGTGGCCTGAAGTCTTTATTATGTCGGAGACAACAACGATGGCAACCATCACTAAACTGCGACATTTGTTTTCAATATTTGGTATCCCGGAAACTATTGTGTCCGACAATGGTACTCAGTTTACATCCCATCAGTTTAGCGAATTCGTTCGAAGACACGGCATCACACATGTTACTTCTCCACCATTCCATCCCCAATCCAACGGTCAAGCTGAACGGTTCGTTGACACCTTTAAACGTGCGTTGACAAAAGCAGAAGGGGAGGGGACCACGACAGAAGTGCTGGATACGTTCCTGCTGAACTATAGAGCAACCCCTAATCCACAGTCTCCGGACGGTCGCTCTCCAGCAGAGGTTATGATGAACAGACGGTTGAGGCTTACCCATGACGCTATCCTACCAACACGTACTTGTTTTCAATCACCGACAGGAGGAAAACCAACATTCCGGCCTGGCAACCGTGTGCTTGTCAGGGACTATCGCCCCGGGTACCGAAGATGGACTGTTGGAGTCGTCCTCAAAAGAATCGGTCAGGTGATTTACAGCGTCCAGGTGGGATCATTGATATGGAAACGACATGTCAATCAATTACGTCGACTGAGTGCCAGATCCCACGGGCGGAAGAACAGTTACTAGACCTCAACTTACTGCTTGAATCCTTTAATCTCCCAAGACCAGGACCTATAGCCACTGCCTCGTATGTACCGCTCAATACAGATCCATTGCTGCAACCAAGACGCCGTACTGATCGCATCAGAAAAGGGGTGGAACTCCTACAACTTGATCCGCGTCGAAAACCTTACGTTGAACAGTCAAAAGGGGGAGGTATCAGGAAGGTCAGATTCCTGAAAGCAACTTCAGAACGCCCGGAACCGACTGCTCCACCAAAAACTCAACTGGAAAGCCGGCAAGCAACCAGGCCAATCAATCATTCAATCAATTCAATTTGCGGCCACAGAAGCACGACCGAATGTGATCAACGTTCAGGCTTTTCACAGAGGCACAATAGATGTTGATGGGTGATCACTAACGCCTATCAGACAGCCTGGATCAATGTCAGAAAGTCCCCTTTAAATAGCGTGGGGCCGTTGTAACTTTTGCTCTCTCACTCACTCGCTTGTTCGGAATACAGCTGTTGTGTTCGCTTCTGTGAGTCTTTTCTCTCCGACACTAGGCACTGGAGCGGGTCAGCAGCAGACACCACAGATCGACGAATCAGCAGATATAACAGGGTTTGATACCTGTCTGGACTGAACGTTAATGAGTGCAAATCTTCAAAAGGATTTCCAACTCCATTAGACATTATTTGGCTCGGCTACTCTCCAAGATAGATCCCATGAGCGGGCTCACTCACGTCGACTTAGAGGCCAGATTAAGAGCCGAAGGTTCCAGGTGTTTTGCCAAACTAATCACTTTTCTGAAATAGGTAATCGGGAAGTTGTCAAGAATACCTAACCTGTTACGGAGCCAATACGACCATCATTCATATAGGAAATTCGAGGGGAAGGGTGTACGAAAAGTGAAGCCAGGCGTTAGCAAAAAGCTACCACGCAATTAAACAAACTGCAGTCTAAAGGATTCGGAGGGATCCCATACAGCCTAAGAAAGACTCACTGAGTTTGGCCAACCATTGAAACTACAATGGAATCATCGTAGCGGTCGGATTCAAGGGGGAAACACCATGCCCCTGGAAGAGAAAAGTAGGCACACTGTTGCATAGTGTGACGTGTAACGTAAAAAGAACAACAACAACAACAATGCAGTCGCCACCGGTCAAAACTCCAAATCCAGGCACATTTATCGGCCATTGCGTCGATCCAATAAACACCAATCCGTGAAATTGACAGGAAGTTTCCGACCTGAACAAAAGTTGTACTATGTAGTTCGAATTGAAATCCAATTTAAAGGGACGCAAGCCACTTATTCGTTCGCTGAACTAAGTGTACACTAAACCTCGTGATGCACCGTAAGGTGCGTTGAAAAGTGATCCTCCGATTATCTACCTAACAAATGCCAGAAGCCACTGTAATACCCTTAGAAAGGTTGGAATGTAACTTTGGAATCGACAATAGACCCTATTGAGGAGATACGATTGCTCCTTCACGAGGAATGAGATTTGACTGTTGTGGTCAAATAGAGACACAAAAATAGGTTTATCTGAATGCAGCTGCAGCTATCTGACTGAGCACCCCTTGATGGTGGAAATGGTCACCGTTTTCTGAAGAGTACGAATGCTAACGATGTGGCTGGAAAAATAATTATTCTCCTCACCTTAGCTCAGGATATAATAAGTGATAATCGTTCAGCTGTAGCATCCTTTCGGTGCCTAGCTACCAAGCCACCAGAAGGAAGCACGAGGGCTACCAGGTTGTCCAAGCCTAGACAGGGGAAGTCGAGAGACAGAGGTCGGGTTCGAACCACGGACCTTCCGGTCAGTAAGTTCGCGCTTGATCCATCTGCCCCCCCCCCCCCCCTCAAGACGCTGCGTCTCAAGTTAGTGGTGTGAAACCGGTGAAATAAAAACCTTCGGTCTTGTTCTACAACGTGCGACAAGGTGTACGGTGGGACGAATGGGGGGCGCGCATTGAAAATAGGTCAAGTACTATGGTCGTGCAACTATAATGATCGACCTTGGTTCGCTGGTATCTAGCAGAATAAAAGGTAGCTGAAGACGGTTTGCGAGGAAACAAATTAAAAGTATTACAAGGGTGTTTCTAAGGCGAATTGCTGAACGCCCTGCAACTTCACAGTTGTGATGCAACTCAAAGAAAGCATGAGGCAGATACGACTACATTACCCATACCCATAAAGCGGCACTAGGAAAGTCACAGGTGGGTTCGGATCATGAACCCCTCCGCCAGGAGCTCAAAGCTGTACTCCGAGCTATTCCGATGCTACGACTGAGCGATCTCGCCGTCCCCTTACCAATATTCCGAATGACAAAATGTTCTCACATCGTAAAAACCGCGAACTGAGTCAGCTACGCATAGTACCATCATTTTCCGTTAACTGTACGCAAAAGCGTTCAGTGAGTAGATGGTAATTGAAAATCAGAGGGGCGTCCCCTTGAGGAGCAATGAGAGATGGTACGGAAAGCTCTACTTGATGGGAGAAATTCGGAAAACGAAGCCGAGCACTTAAAAAACCGTACACTTAAAAGTCGAGAGCCTCATACGTGTCGCCCTTTGCTGTTGGGCCGACCGACCTCTTTGTGGTTGACTGGCGTATTAGTTGGCATTTACCACGACTCACGAAGGGACTTGGTCACAAGTGGTGAATACGATCGCTTGTTCACGAAGGGATTTGGTCACAAGTGGTGAATACGATCGCTTGCAAATTAAGACCCGACTGAGTCCTAACTGAATCCCTCGCTTATAATGTTCGCAGTTTGGTTAGAGTTTTGCGTAGTGTCGCGTAGCTATTAGAAATGCACTGGACATCCGTTTCACCTTCACTATCGGGTGTACCGAGGATCCAAATATACAGCACCAGACCATGACAGAAACGAATCCACCAAAAGACTTTGAATAGGCTGCCAGTCCCGCCTCGTTGTTGAATGATGAAGACGTAAAAAAAACTCTCAAAGTTCCACATTCATAAGTTGTACATATGCAAGTAGGAAACTTGTATCCAGCATTGTGGTCTGTCCCGCAGAGAATAACGGATGTTCCATTGGATAGACCATGCAAGGATCCGGTTAACAGCGCTACGGGCCTGTCTCCAAATTACGCACTGCCAGGCCAATAGCCTAAAAATAGCCAACAGCCCGCGAGAGGTATGAGAATGATTTAATGGAGGTGAGTTCATGAATGGAAGGCTAGGTTCCGGGTGGGGGGAACCACGGGCAGCTTACACAAGCGGCCAGAAGCACTAATCCGCAGGTCTCGGTATCGCGTCCAATCGAAGCTATCGTCCCTTCCCACTTCTTGCGCCAATAATGCAATGAACCCGACACCTATATGGCGCAATTACTGGACCTAACTTTCGTGCTCTGAGCTACCGCCTTCCATGTATAGCTTTCCCCTCCAAAACCTGTCGCAATCTTGGTCAATGCATTCTAACTAAAGATGATAGTGATGATCATGACAATAGCGGAAAGAGTGCTCGGATGAGAGTTGTCCTGGNCTATGGCATAATCCCTCAGCCTCTGCCTCAGCAGATATAAAGAAGCAACATACCTTTGATAAGGTCTTGATCGATGGTTGCGTGTTCATGGATTCCGATCCCGTTGCGAATGATCCGTAGGGTTCCTTCCTTATACGCACCCGAACATGTGATCAGCTGGTTTTGTCCCTTGCTCTCCAGTAGCACCATATCCACTATGGGCCCAATGTTGGTGTAGTTCTCCAATACCGTAATGTAACTGTTACGCTCCGGATCCGGATCCGGGTTAAGCCGAATCAGCTGAGAGTCACCCAGAGTGCAGCCAATAAACACCACCCCATTATCAACGTATGCTATCGATTCGGGAGTTGCTGTCTCACCTGTGAAGCAACGTGAAAGAAGTGGAACACGGGATAAAATAACCAGATGGAGGTAAAATTGTAAAAGCAAACACACGACGTAAACCGACTTTACAATTCCCCCGTGTAATCACAAGGTTCAACACAAAAAACCTCATTCCATTGTACGGTTCGGAATTCTAGAGTTGAGACCGTCCGCCGCAACATACTACAGAGTTGACACTAATAAGCAGACAGGATAAAAATGGAAGAGAGTACTTCAGTGAGTGGGACGATAGTTTTTGATCCATTATGAATGGATGAACGACGAAGAACCCGTAAGGAAGAAACACTGTTGTCTATCCTGAATTTCGCGCACTCATGATACGTGAGTCTGAAAAGCCACAACGAGGATTGTGTAGAGAAACAATCCGAGAAGCGGTATAACTGTTTTAAAATCAATCAACTAATAGGGAACAGAACTGCTCTGCCCCTTTCGGGGCCTAACTGTCATGTCACCAGAAGGAAACACGAGGGCTATGATACTGCCAGGTTGTCCGAGCCTGGACAAGGGAAGTCGAAAGGCAGAGGGCGGGTTCAAACTACGGTCCTTCCGGTCAGTAAATTCGCGCCCTAACCACTGAGCCATCTCGCCCCAGTCATTTGTGGAACTCCAACCTATTTCTGTTTTCAACATCCCCAACATCCCCACAGCAATCTTGACTCACACACTGAATGCCCCAACGGAAAAATTGTTACCTAACTGTAACCTTCACCAGCTTCATAGCTGCTCAATGGTACCAAATTTTCTTGAGTAACAAACCGATGGTGGGGATGTCTACTCTGAGAGAACATGTTGCTGTCCCTAGTATATCTCTAATACATAGTAGTAATGAAACTGTTGCCTGTAAATACCAACGAAAAAAAAAGTATTCTCAACTCACCCAGAAGTTCGATCCGAATAGACCCAATTCTGGCGCTCGGAACAGCAGCACTACTGGTGGATCCCAAAAGACCATTGCCTGAGGGAGTATGGTCTTCTGCCAGTAAATGGACCATGTACAAACGACCAGCCATATCACCAAGAAGGTATCTTTGTGCATCAACGGCTGCATAGCAGAGAACCTGGCTGGCCTATGGATCGAAGAAAAACATGTTTGCCTTTTCCAATCAAGTGTGTGCGGTTAGACTGACGTGGGGTTTCATGACTGACGCAACAGTTATATTAAATAATATGAGGAAGACCCGTATTATTGGAGTCAGGAAGAGGTGAACAACCAACCTTTGTGTCAGCTCACGTAAAAGGTCACTACTTGTGATTTAACTCGTAATCCGCTCGTATCAAATCAGAACAAACTGCTGGAGTCACACAAGATAATATAGAATAACTATAGACATGACAGAAAAGGGCTACAGGTTTCTGATGCAGTTGAGTGAGATTAACCCGAAAAATCTAACGAATCACAGGAATATGCCATGTGGAAGCACTGAAAAGTATTTTTTTAACTTAAGTTGAACATAGCAGCTGGACATGGTTCTGGTAAGTTGCTGATCAAGATTAAGGCTGTCAGGCTTTTAAGTCAAAAAAGACCAACATCTTTGGTTGCTGGAAGCAGTGCCGCTTATTCCAAAATCTGTCCGAGTGAAAATGATACCAATGCATCCTTCTTCAGGGCGCAACACAGCTTAGGTTTCACGGATCTGCCTCTCCCTTTATTTAGCCAACACTCGAAGGATAAGACCGGAGAGTACCTTAGGTGCGACAGGCTGATACTACAGTGGTTTTTACACAGCGTTCGAGTACCCTTTTTGAAAATGAGGATGACTGTCGGTGTGCCCCATTCTGGAGGCACTGTCTTCACCCTACATCAGATCAATGAGCTTTGTCAGATGGGTCACCAGGGACTCTCTTATTTCTCTGAAGACCGTCCAGCCCTGGTACCTCACGTTTCAGTACGTATATTTCGTATTTTACTTTTTCCGACGGGTGATTAAGGTCAACATTCCATTCCTTCATGTAAACTGTCCCCCGGGACTGTTACAGGAGACCAGCCAAACTGTTCTTCGTTCAAGTTGGCATTTTCGTGAGTGAGGTAATGAACCGCCTTTTCACCCATCGTTTCACCAACTGTTGCTTTCTCAAAGCCAGCTGGTCGTCACAAATGGTATAGGGCGCAGCTTTTTCCGGTAAAAGCCTTCTCCATCTCCAGAGTTATCGAAGTCCACCAAATCTCTCGGTCATTCCTTGGGTTCTTTACTATTTGGTGTTGAGGGTTTTGCGTGCGATGTCGTACGTGTTCATCATCATCATCATCAATGACAGCAACATCAGTGTTGGCACTGATGCTTCACTGCCGTACAACCATAAAGTTCGTTTAGTTATATATATATATATATATA